TTTGAGGGGCGTTGCCTAAACCGGATGCAAGGTCAGTGCTACGACCTGTACGGAGGTTTATTTGGGACAGTAGTCCGAGGCTGCTCCGGATAAGAACTCCAGTAGGACGCTCGAGAGTACAGTGCGTCGCGGTGATGGCTGGGTCAAACGAAAGTCTTGGTTCAGTGCATCCACCGCCTGGTCCTTCTTAGAGGCAAAACATAAACACACGCGATAGTTCGGCCTCTGCTGCCGACGACGGGCTTAAAAGCAGGGTGAGAGGTGGGACGGTGACTTTGTCGTAAACTCGTTTATAGTGGTAGAAGACTTGCTCAGAATCTACCACACCCTCTACCCCCCTCTCCCTACCTGGACCGGGTGTCACGACAGAAATAAGAGAACCGGAGGCGGTATAGGGCGGTGGCTACTGGAACGGCGCGAACTCCCACCCGGGCGTACCGCCACACATCACGGTCCGCAACGTGCACTGACCAGGATTACATACAATGAGTGACCGATCTCATGAAATGTTGGCTGAAATTCTGAAATGCGTTTTCGATTAGGAAGGATTACTTGGTCGAGGTTGTTATACTGATTATCTTACGGCATAATCTTATAACATTTCTGACTCGGCAGGAGGTCGGCTTTGAATACTGCTTTTCAATCTTTTGTAGAAACCGTACGTACTGAAGAATGACTAAACTCGGTTGCCGAGTCGATTGCGACAAAGGAATTCAATTGCATAAAATATTGGCTGGTCCGAAGGCAATATTGATAATTGGACGTCTGGCGAATCTGGGAGAAGGCTACCACGCATGCACGCCTTCTCGCTGTAGTTTGTTCGCCACATAGCTCCGGCATAACGTCCCTTATCAGTAGGATGAATGGCGCTCTTGTTATCTTTTCGGCATTTTAACTTTGCAGGACTAAGGCTGATCATATGTCAACAGCGTGATTGAAAGTTCGATAGCATGGAAAGTGTTATTCTAAGGTCGCAGGTCATAAGAAGAAGACGAAGACGAAAACGAAGAAGAAGAAGAAGAAGAAGAAGAAGAAGAAGAAGAAGAAGAGGCGTTCAGCAGGAGAGGTTTATTGGAGCTCTGAAGTTTCAAGTAGTGACTTCGTCTACCCATCGACAGGAACTGGGAAGTTGTGCCCGCAGCTCTCATTATATGGCGCACTTTGCTTGGTGAGTAGGTTGCTAATGTCGACTATAGAGTTTCATGGGAACCGTGACCTGCGTCGTCCCACCGTCGTTGAAGGCAACGATAACTGACGGCTCCATTGTTTCAGGCCGCGACTGTCCCCTATCAAGGAGGTTCGTAAAACTAGCCATCTGCCGGTGGATTACTGAGACTGACCTGTGGGAACTCGCATTCCGAGTGGTGCGAGAGGATCTAGATACGACCTCTGGAACCCGCACCCCCTATTCGGAATACACGGTATGATTTTAGTCGTCGGCACTCATTTTTCCGTTTCCTAGGTGACGCTCAACTCCGTACGACGAATATTCATGGGCAGTAATTGGCTATGATGTGTTCTCGAGGAGGCTTCATTCCGTCCCGTTTGACTACTGGCGTGCCGCAATGAATTTCCACCCGCCAATGTAGCGAATGCACGCAGTCTTGTTTATGTTGCAGAGAGTGACTGCTGTTTCTCGGTCTTCTGTAGACTGAAGTCGCAGGTTCGACGTTAGTTTCGGTAGACGAGAAAACACATGAACGGAATTCTGTCCTCCACACCATCTTCCATCGTATACAGTTTCAGTAATGACCGCCTCCCCATGGACAGGCTCTCACAACGCTCGAGTTCTGACACACTGTGACGAAGGAAAAGACAGACTCAATTAGGAACTTAGATCACGTCATTATCAGAGGCGGAAGACTACCAAAATCTTGCTTCTGTGTACTTGGGATTTGAACCTGGTCACGTCAGCAGAATGTGAGTATATGGAAGCAATGAAGTGGCAGTCGAGGCGGTAACGCAATTAGATGTGACATGTTTTTTTAACTATCACGATCAAAAAATACCCGGGATGATTTATGCCTATGATCAAGAAACTCCCCGACAGCATGCAGGGGCGCATTATTAGCAATAAATTAAGTTCGCTTGCCTTCACTCTACACAATAGACAAGGATGAGTTGTGTACCTACTTTAACTTTCTTGTCCCCTTAATATTTTCTGGTTCTCTGTACCTACCAGTACTCATAGTGAAATTTAAACTCAACTTGTTGTCCGGCTTCATGCTGTAATTTCGCCATATCATTAGACAGACTTACACGCTGGGTCATCTTTCCTTATTTACGCTCAAGGACTGTCGAAACATACAGAAACGCGGTATTTCTGTTAGTTTAAGCACAGGCACTCGTGATTAAGCGGGTAGAAACGCAGAAACAAAATCAACACAACCATGCAGTATATGCGGATGCAAATACGCGCGTAAAGCCTCCCACAATCTGCCTGTTGAATTACTTTTTTCTAACTAATGTATCACAAACTACCTGACAGAAGCCAAAATCTGACTCTTGACGTTAAATAGGAAGTGGCCTGGTCGTGAGCAGTTCCTGCTTTTTTAATCTCTTTAACCGTCCTAAAGCTCGCCGCCCTGTCTGGTACTCACGCACTTGTTCGGTCACACTTTTGCGTTGGCCTTTTCTCGTCCAACTCAACGGCTCCAGCCATGGATGTTGTCGAAGCTAGTTCTACTGCCTCACATAACCTGGGTAATTTATTTCAAACCGAAATTTCGCTCGCAGAATTGCATTGTAGTGGATTTCGACATACCGTCCTGGCTGGTTTTGATGGCAGATACTGAGAACCCCAAAGCTACGTTTTGGCACTTTACTCTGGCGTGACTTCCTAGTCGCATCTAAATATCATCGTTTTCTCTATCTCTCAAAGTTGAATTGACATATCAGGCTAATTACATTTGTTGAACTTGATCAGTAAACTTTAAAGCCGAGACTGATATTCGCTTCGACTTTCCTAAATCATGTCTGTATAGTTTTCCATCGTTAACGATGTTCGTTACATCAACCCCGCGGCGCCTCTTAGGACAGTACCTGAACCCTTCTGTGTTAAATAAAACACTCCCGTAGACTTCCTTTTCTCTGATTTGAAGTGACTCTTGGCAACGTTGTATTACTTAGATCATAATGATTCTGCTTCGGTCACTATTGTATCTGCTGGGCAACGTTTAGGAGCTGTTCACTGGTTGTCAGAGAAAAGTCGCAACAAGAGTCTTCTAAGACTTCATATGATTGTGACTTCCTCTTCACAGACGACTGCGTAGTGAGAGACACGTCCTAAACTAGACTTGAACCGCAGTCTCGAATTCTTTGTCCCCGTATCAATGAACTCTGGTAAAGACCGGTCCCGGAAACCAAGGTCCCCACACAGACTCATAAGTCAAGCCAATATGAAAGGTGAGTCAGACCCCATTTTGTAAAAATCTCTAGCAAGCGTCCGCCGAAAACTACTCCTGTGATGACATTCACACAAGAATTTGCAAAAAAGAGGCCTGAAGCAACGTCAAAACGAGAGAATGAAGTCTTTATATAAATTCCACACAAGTTTAAACCTTCGAAAACGACAAAATACATGAAGTCAATGAGAAGAAGCAAGAACGAGAAACTTAAATGTTGACGAACAACGCTGTCTACGCCCTATGCCTTCCTAAGTCCTCCAGTGCACGAACGAATTGTCATGCTCAAAGAAATATGCCGTCTCTGGCTAGCTGCCAATTAGCTGGGGTATATTTGTGTAGAAGCTGTGCGGGTTCAGCAGGTTTAATCTAATTATTGCAGATTCATTTGCATGCACAAGAATTGGTGGATACATTGCATGCAGTTGTAAGTCCTAGCATTTTGGGCGCAGCTGGAAGACGTCATTCGACTCTAATATTTACAAGGAGACAAGGGGCAGGAATACAAGTACAATGGCATTAAATCCTCTGTAAGAATAACCAAGTTAGCGTTGTTATCTGCCAATAAAAGTGTATTAAAAGTGCAACCTGCAAAAAAATTCATGGCATATTTCTATTTTACAGAGACAGTGATATTTACACAGAAGGACAACGAGGAAACCATCTTCACGATTTATGGGCCACTTAAGTTCATCTTCATATGAATCGCCCAAAGTGTCCGCCGAGGTCTATCTCCAGAACAGTTTTTAAGCAGAAAACATACGTAGTGTGACAGCAGATTTTAAAAGGCAAGAATCACACATTGTGTAGATTCAGGAAGTGCAAACAACCTACTTGCGCTCGGTCCCCTTGTCAGGTACATCATCTAATAATCCTAAACAGTATTGACTCCTAAAAAGATGATCGTGATTCAGAAACCAGTCCTTCAGAATAGTAATTCTGAGTGTGAATCGCGATAACGGCGAATCGTCAGACTGATTAAATGCCTGTTTAAGCGATCGCATTTTCTGAACTGTTTCATGGAACTCACGTTTTCGTTATTATCGATAATGACGAATATGTTGCGACCGCCCTCCTAAACTTCCAGCAGGACTTGAACGCTGTTTATTAACGGTCATTAATTCAAAAGCGTTTTATAAATGGTTTAAGATGAAACTCAGTCAAGTCTATTACTAGGCTCCAGGAAATAGGATCTTCATCATACGCTCTCCAACGTTATGTCACTGTAGTTGTTCATAGACAGTGACATAATGGTAATAGCAGAAACGAGACATCGGGGAAGAGGACTGGAGAGGAGGAGATAATCACTGCGTTTGCTATGTTCTGGATCAGTGATATATGCATCGTTACCCTGAAGATTCTGTGCCGATCGTCGTTATTTGCATCAAAGAAGTGGGTATAGCAATTTCAGAAAACCTTCCCATTTTCAGATAACTCGGTATAAGACATCAGTCCAAGAAGATATGCTTCGAATGATTGCATGGTTTGACACACTTTATTCGAATCAAATAATGTAGCGCCAATTGACCTTGGGGATTTCGGTTATATTGGCGGTGGTGTTTGGTGGTCGCTGGCTTCGCATTCTGTTCCTCGAAGATGGTAGGTCCTACCGAGTCTGGGTTACCTTTCCGTTTAGACTGGGGCTTTGAAAGTTCTCATTACTGGTGCTGCCGGGCAAATCGCCTACAATCTTTCCAACATGATTGCCAATGGCAATATGTTTGGCAAGGACCAGAAAGTTATCCTTCACCTCCTCGACATTCCGCAAACGCAAACCGTCTTGGGAGGTGTTGTAATGGAACTCCAGGATTGCGCCTTCAGTGTCCTCGAGGATGTTATTGCAACTACTGATGTAAAGACTGCCTTTACCGATATTGACGTTGCTCTCATGGTTGGAGCCATGCCGCGCAAAGAGGGAATGGAGCGCAAGGATCTCCTGGCCACCAACGTGTCCATCTTCAAAGTTCAGGGTGAGGCGCTTGATAAATATGCCAAGAAGACTGTGAAGGTCCTTGTCGTCGGCAATCCCGCTAATACAAATGCCCTTATGATGAGCAAGTTCGCTCCGTCCATCCCAAAGGAGAACTTCAGCTCTCTTGCGCGTCTCGATCATAACCGCGCCATTGCTCAGGTAAATACTGCTTATCTCACTTAAGGTAGAGCACTATACTGGTGTGCTGGCTCTTCCTACCAGTCTTACACGGAAGAGGAACTTGCCATTCTTTTTGCCCCTGACTGTCTTTAGTACTAGTTTCAACTCCTAGGCGGTCTCGTCGAGTTCCCGGCTGTTATTTACCATTCCTCATTATTTTCCTACTTCAATGCGGTCCATGATTCTAACTTCAGGTAGCCATGAAGCTGGGTGTGTCGAACTCCGATGTGAGCAACGTCATCATTTGGGGGAACCACAGCAACACACAGTTTCCTGACATCTCCCACGCCACTGCCATCGTCAAAGGAAAGTCCGTCAACGCCGCCGAGGCCATCAACGACGAAAATTGGATTAAGAATACCTGCATTCCATGCGTGCAGAAGCGTGGCGCAGCTGTCATTTCTGCCCGTAAGTTGAGCAGTGCTGCCTCAGCCGCAAAGGCCGTTGTCGATCAGATGCATGACTGGTGGTTTGGCACGAAAGAAGGACAATATGTCTCTATGGGTGTTTACAGCAACGGCGAGTATGGCGCACCCAAGGACGTATTTTTCAGCTTCCCTGTCACCATCAAGGATGGGAAATATAAAATTGTGGATGGGCTGAAGATGACCGAATTTGACAAGAGTCTTATGGCCATCACTGCCAAGGAGTTGGCGGAGGAGCGTGACGCTGCGATTCAGGTCTGCAAGTGAACGTCAAGAAGGACGTGAACTGGGCTTTAGTGTCGAGCTCCGTTGTCCTGCCCTAATTTTGTAGATTGAATAAATTTTATCTACATTTCCCCTAGAAGGGGATTCCCATCTGCCGGCTCTTATTTCTTGCTGTAGGCGGCTTTTTTCGGTAAATTCCACAAGAGCTCAGTGTTCGGACGACTCGTCGATTAGCCTACCTGGAGTTCAGCAGGCGGGATGCTATGGGTTCCTCGCGCACACACAGACTCTAGTCCTTCGGATTTTTGTCGGGGACCGCACTGTGAGCCCTGCCTTTTCACTAAGTGAGTTAAGGACACCGACGGGTGTAAGATTCGGAGGTAGTCTTGGAAAAGTCGCTGATGACGGCATCTCCATCGCCATGTCATCTGCCTGCCCGCTAGTCCCGTAATCACCGAGTGTTCCGGAAACTCACCTGTACATGCAAATGTCTCGGGTGCCCTTTGCGGCCGACTTGAATAAATAATACTGTCGAAATTAGCTGGCAATGTCATGGGGGAGTTGGGACGTATTGCCACTTAGCGAGTTGGTTGGGGTGGCTGATCGAAGGCCCTGCTGAGCATTGCTCAGCGTAATCGTTAAACGGCCCTGATGACGGATAGTGGAAACGGGACTGGCAGAACTGCCCTAGAAACCCGGCACAAACCACTCAGCGGGGAGGGGCATGTCCAGGGGCGTCCCTTTGGCAGGGCAGATCAACTGTCTTCTAACGTTGACAGGTGTGAGTTTGCGATCAATGGTCAGGTTCTCCTGCTGCACTATTCAGGATGACATCTATGACTTAATTTCATCATCAGCATCTTTACAATTCGTGGTAGGACTGTGACTTGGCAAGCAAACCTACCAGAGAGAGGTTTTTTTTAGCGGCCACTTAAAATTTTTGTGGAGGTGTTCGAGAAGCCTGTTTCCAGGGCTAGACGTACCGGGGTGTGAGCCAGGTTGAAGCGTCAATGGTGTCGCGACTGAGCGAGAGCCAATCACTGCACGTGAAGTAGGACCAGACGGGATCCTGGCGGGCGGGACGGTCTCGGGAAATGGGGGGCTGGGGCATTTTACCTAAATCCAAGCCTCGCGGCTACTACAGCGGGCGTTCGAAATCCATACTCGAGTTGGGCTGCATACGTTGTAGGGGTAGCGAGTCAGCACGGCCTGATGACTAGGAACCACAGCTTCAGAGGTTGGAGTGTTTTGCGGGATGGGGTTGACTGTGTGGTGAACAGCGAGAACGGTACATGCACACGCGGGCGCCGAGAGGTTGGTCAAGGGCTGCGTCAACGTTTGTGTCGTTGATGCAGGGGAAGCGCACTCGCCCCCCCCCCTCTCCAACAAGTCCAGCGCAAGAACTGAGCATGGTTCAGCGGCAAGGATTCTTGGAGCGGGGCCAGGCATTGGTAACGCCCTTCCGCGCCATCCCGGTCTCGTGTCCATGCATCCTGTCCCTAGAATCCTTTGGTCTTCTGACTCCTGCCATGGATTTCGCGCTATGAGGAATTGTTGTTGTGACGATGGCCTTGTGCTTGGTACTGAGTGGACACAAGGGCTTCCAGGCGGACGATTTCAGCCTCCCATAGATCTGGAGACGAGCCACAATTGGTGATTTTCCTTCAGGCTATGCGTCTCGGATAGTGCCGAGCTGCTCTCGATTCCTGATCGTAAGTCACGGTAGAGGGCACAGGACTGCAGAGGGTTACGAAAGATACGCAACCCCGCTTCGCCTGATCTGAAAGGGTGTCGGCTTTCGGAGTTAATCCGTTGTTCGTCATGCGCCATTAAAGTACTAGTCGCACTCCGCATCTTCTGAACCGGTTAGGTCAGTCTGTTCAGAAGTTGTCCTCCACTGTTTATGAGGATCTCAACTTCCGCATTTGAATCGGTGGTCAGAGCTTTTCCAATGGATACCTGCACTGCCGCTCAGCATTTATTGGAATCAGGAGTTGCAAATTGTCGATAGGTAGCTCAGTATGCACCTGAGGTGCTCAGCCCAGCGTACCAGGGTTTACGATTTGTCCGATGGTACAGTCGCTTCGTCTGAACTGATCAGCCGTTAAGTCCCCGAGGTGGGGGGTTTGGTGGGTGCAAAGTTCTTCATCTGACAGCAGTTCGCATATCCGGCCTTTTTTACGTAAATTCCGTTATTGACGGTGTATAGCCTGGTTTTCCCGAAGATGAGGCGCCAGTCAACCCGGCGTTTGTGCTGCCGGCGTATGCGTCCAAGACGTCCTGCGGCGGTGGTGTAGACGTCGTCCCGAAGTTTCTTATCTTTGATCTCACGATCGTCGTCCTTCCCTCCGGGGTCTTGGTGCCCACCCTGTCGCTCACTTCTAGTCAGTACAGTATTCAGCAGTCTTTGTGCCATCTGACCTTGACGGAGTCGACTGCAGGGTCAGATTTGCAGTCCCCTATTCGAAACGTCAAGGCAGTTATCTGTCCAGAAATCCGCCGCGCCCATTTCGCAGATCTCGTCTCGTCCACCTGTTACCGGTGATGCGAGCGAGGGTGCATTTACGTGGGCCTCTGTAGGTTCGGAAGGTGGAGACTGCGTTATCTGCATACAGAAGGAGCTGATGGTTTTGACCAGTTGCTCCCTGTGGAGCGGGCACCTCGTGGTCATGAGACGAGCATTAGTCACCTACGACAGGCGGGAGCATTGTCTCTGGGGATCGTTACTGATGGTTTTGCCTTTCGCTCTAGAATAGTTTGTACCCCGAACCCTCTTCCTTCGACTGGCCGTCCTCGGAGACAAGGGTCTCGCTGAGTGCTGTAATGTCTACTTTTAGGTTGGGGTAGTTTGTGGCCGATCAGAACTTGGTTTTTAGCACTCAGGGACACTTGTTCTCGACATTTTCCTCGTGAGCATGTAGACACTGCTATCTCGCGTAGAGTCGCCAGTCGTTTCAGGTGGCTGAGGGATTCCATTGTGAGTCACGATGTTTTTGGTGAGGAAGGCTGTCAAAAATCTTCTGGGCCACCTACTGATAAGTCTTTGGGGAGGAGTATCGGCACAAGCGGAAGAACTACCATCTTCGGAGGCATACCGGATAACCTGATCTGGACGGAGCAAGTTCAAGGTGTCCACCAAGTTAATCAATGCGTTTGGTGTGAGTCTCCAGCACGTTACCGTGGAATGGCCTACCAACCATATTGATGAACCTCGAGGTACCGCACCAAAGCGATCTCGGCGCTGGCCCTATAAGCGCAAATCATGACTAGTCATTGAACCACTCTGGGGGTCCAGAAAGAGCTCCATCCTCGACGAGCTCAAAACATTTAACAGCGTTTTTCTATGTTGGCTGCGCTTAATGTACCTGGGTGCCAGTTTGAATCTACACTTTTGGTACTTCTTGTGGGCACTTATCGGTAAAGACGAGTTTGGAAATCATAAATCCAGAAGACAGGAGTCAGGGGACAATCGGCATTAGGACAGCAAGCGTACAAGCACCTCAGGCGCAAGGGAGAACGGTTGGGGCATGGGCAGGGAGGTCAGACGGTCGATTGCGGTTTGTCGGGAGTTGTAAGCGTTAGTTAGAGACTCCGAGGCCGGGCTTTTAAATGCTGGACGCGTGAATTAGTTTATAGTGATAGCGGACTTGCGTAGCACCCGTCTCACTCTCCCATCTCCGCTCCCCACATGGACCCAGTGTCAAGATAGAGTCAAGAAGACCGGAGGCGAATGAGGGTGCAGGCGGCTGGCACGACCGGGCCTGCACCTAGACGTGCCACACACCCTCTGGTCCATAACATGTACTTCACCAGGATTTTTCACCAACAACAAACAACAACACCATCCCAACAGGAGTCAGAAGGACGATAAAGACTGGGCGGCCATGCCCACCATCTGTATACCTAGCGGGAACGCAAGCACATCTACCGGCAGGGAGCCAGGTGTCAGGGAACTGCTAGCGCATACCAGGCTGAGATGGCCATAGTTTGAAGATTTTGGCGTAGCGCACGCTTAGAGACCTTTTGAGCTAGGAGGGCGGCACGTGGTCCTGCATTTAGTTAGAGACTTCGAGGACGGACTTTCGCATACTGGACGGGCAAGACTTTCATGACCGCAAAGGACACAAACCGACAGTTGGACCGTCGGTGTCCACCGTAAGGTGCAACAGGCACGGTGACTTGCGCGTAAGTTGGTTTATAGTGATAGTAGACTTGCTCAGTATCTACCGCACTCTATCCTCCCCACTCCTCACTTGGACCCGGTGTCAAGACAAAGTCAAGAAGACCGGAGGCGGGGGCGCAGGTGGATGACACGGTCGGGCCTGCAACTTCGCGTTCCACTCCACACCCCTTTGTCCACACTACAAGTGACCAGGTGTTGACCAAAAACAACAACAACCCAACAGGGGTCAGAAGGACGAGGATGATGACTGGGCGGCCATGTCCACCATCTGTAAAACAGCGACACCGCACGCGCATCTACCGGCAGGGAGTCAAGTGTCAGGGAACTGCTAGCGCATACCAGGCTGCTATGGCCATGGTTTACTGATACTGATGTAGCATACACTCTCAGACAATTAAACTTAGAAGTGCGACACGTGATCCTGCATCTAACCTGGGCCGTCACTCTTCAAGGTTAGGTAGCCAAACAGCCGTCGACTGAGATGCGCTACGCATAAAGCACACACTCATCACATACATGAGAGCGTCACAGATCGCTTGAGAAGGGGCCGTGACAGTCTGGCTCTCAGCCCGCCACTCCACACAACACACACCACTGGGCAGACTGCGAGGACTAAGTTGGAGCGTTCGTCGACTGCCTTCCGAGCCACGGCGCTCGACGCACCGTCTTCGTCTCAGATTTGGATCACACATGCAGCAAAGGAGCGGCATGGTGAAGGGGCCGAGACATACACTTCCGGTCCTGCCACCTCAGCTTCAGTATTCGATGAGGACAACCGAGGTGGAGGTGGTTGAGTCGGCGTGCCTGCTTCGTGTATACTGTCCAAGTCTCTGCTCCATACAGCAACGTCGGGAGGATGACAGCCTTGTACATCTTCAGCTTCGTGCTCCGTTGGAGACCGTTACGATTCCAAACTGTGCTTTGCAGGCGACCGAAGGCTTGACTGAACTTTGAAATCCGGTGGGCGACTTCGTCGTCCATTTCCTTGCTTCGGGAAGGGGTACTACCCAGATACGTGAAGTTGTCCACCACTTGCAGTTGGGTTCCGTTCACGCTGATTTGCGGCGGCGCGTTGGGAGGAGTGGCTGTGTTGGGTGGCGTCTGATGCATGACCACCGTCTTCTGCGTGTTGATGACCAGACCGAAGTTCTCGCAGGCGGCGGAGAACAGGTCCATGCTCCGTTGCATGTCCCCTTCCGAGATGGTGTTCAAGGCGCAGTCGTCGGCGAAAAGAAGTTCGTGAACGGTGGTTTTGGATACGCGCGATTGGAAGTGCATCCGCCGTTGATTCAGCAGGTGACCGTCCGTCCTGTAGGCGATGCGGATCCCGGGGCGTTCGTCGCGGTAGGCGTCCATCAGCATGGCAGAGAACATAAGACTGAAGAGGGTAGGTGCCAGGACGCATCCCTGCTTCACTCCGTCGGTCATTGCGAGTGCCTCTGAGACAGCTCCGTTGTCCGTGACTCGCGCCATCATACCATCGTGCAGCTGACGCACCATCTGAATAGATCACTCGGGACAGCCGAATTTCTGCATGATCTTCCACAGTCCTTCACGATTCACCGTGTCGAAGGCTTTCGTCAGATCCACGAAGGTAGAGTACAGGTGGGTACGCATCTCCTGGCACTTCTCCTGAAGTTGGCGGGCTGCGACGATCATGTCCGTGGTCCCACGATGACGACGGAAGCCGCATTGGCTCTCCGGCAGAAGGCCCTGTTCCAGATGGTTGTTGAGGCGGTTGAGCAGGATGCGAGCGAAGATCTTCCCGCCGATGTTCAGTAGGAAGATGCCGCGGTGATTGTCGCAGACTTGGCGATTCCCTTTTCGCTTGTAAAGGTGCACGATAGTTGCGTCCTTGAGTTCTTACGGGACTTCACCTTGACGCCACATCTTCTGGAAGATCGCAGTCAGGGGATCCATGAGTTGGGGACCTCCGTGCTTGTAGACCTCAGCAGGGATTGCGTCCGATCCGGGTGCATTCCCGCTGGAGAGCTGCTGCACGGCCCTGATGGTTTCCTGGAGAGATGGCGGGAGGTTGAGGTCGACGTGGGTCTCCACTTGCGACAAGCGGGCGATGGCGGCGTCGGAGATGGTGGAGGGGCGGTTGTGGACGCCTCGGAAATGCTCGGCCCATCGCTGTAGGATTTGTGTCTTCTCAGTCAGAATATTACTGCCGTGGGCGCTGAGGAGAGGAGCGGTGGCTTTCATCGGCGGACCGTAGACAGCTTTGATCGCAGAGAAGAAGTTCTTCAATTCGTTACGGTCCGCGTAGCCCTGGATCTCCTCAGCTTTGCGAGCAGTCCAGGCGGCCTGGATCTCGCGCAGTCGTTGCTGAAGGTGGCGGCGACTGCGGTAAAAAGCAGCTCTGTTGTCGTCAGTGGGGTGGTCTACGTAGGCTTTGTGTAGGCGGTTCTTCTCGGCGAGCAGATTGCTGATGGCGGCGGAGACCATGGGGACTCAGCACTCCTCTCCAGGCAGCATGGTCTCTGCCGACGCGGGCGCTGAAGTCATCAAGGACAATCAACTTGTCCGCCTTCGACACAGTCACCAAGTGGGCATGCAGGTCCTCGTAGAATTTGTCTCTGACGGCGTCGGGGCTGCTCATCGGCGGAGCGTAGGCGCTGATGATGGTGGCGAATTTGCCCCCCCCCCCGTCGGAGAGGCAGGCGGAGGCTCATCAGGCGGTCGTTGATGCCCTGCGACAGACTGGTCAGTCGTCTCGCGATGTCGTTCCGGATGGCGGAGGCGACACCCGCGTCTCGTTGCTCTGCCCTGGGTCGACCACTCCAGAAGAAGGTGTAGCCGGCACCCACCTCCAGTTCGCCTTGTTCGGATAATCGGATCTCGCTGAGTGCGGCGATGTCCACCTTGTAGCGCGCCATCTCCCGGGCCACTAGCGCTGTCCTCCGTTCCGGCCGGTTGCTCCTCGGGTTGTCTAAAAGGGAACGAACATTCCAGGCTGCAAGAGTGAGCGGACTTACCCTGTCGGTCTGGCGGCGGCGAGTGGGGCGGCGGGAAGGAGGTGGAGAAGGTGACGAAGGAGATGTATAGCCAAAGGAAGAGGAAGAAGAGGCAGGATGAGGAAGAGAGAGAGTATTGTTGTTGTTGTTTCGATTTTGGTTGTTTTGACCGTGAGTTTAGCGTCTGCGACCACGGTCAGCCTGCAGACGACGTGGTTCCCCAGCAATCGTTAGGCCACCTTTTCTAAGCCTTACCGAAGGCAGGCAGTGCCGTCCCCGAATAGCGCTGCTCTGATGTGCCGGCGCAGCCGAACTCCACTATGGGCCACGACTTTTGTTGTAGTAGAAGAGCGACTCGAATTTGCCAAGCTTATGGCATCACCGTAAGCCCGCGGTCTCCTGCGGTGCACCAGACGAGGCCGCGTCTCGACGTTGCCGATGCGGAGTTCCATCTGACCAAC